GTGGCGGGGGGGGGGGGGGGGGGGGGGGGGGGCGCCGGGGGGGGGGGCGGCCCCGCCCCCCCGCCGCCGCGCCCTCCCCCCCGTCCCCCCCCCCCCGCAGGAGTCCGGCGCCCGGCTGGCGGTGAAGGCCTGCCGGCTGGAGCTGAGCGCCCGGCACCAGGAGCGCTGGCGCCACGAGCTGCAGATCCTGCGCAGGTGGGCCGCGGGGGAGGCGGGGACGGGGGGTTCCCCCAAGGAGGGGAGCCTCGTCCTGGTTGCTTTGCACCTGGATTGTTTTCCCCGGGGGGGGGGGGGCACACCTGCGCACCTTCCTCCTCCCCCCCCACATGGGGAGGGGTGGGTGGGCCGAGAGGGAGGGGGGGACACTGGCCCAAAGCCCCCAGCCAGCCTTTCGGGCTAAGGCAGGACTAGGACTGGCGCTTTGACCACCAGGCCAGGCTGCCCTCCAGAGCGGCGTTTCCCCCGGGTGTGTGTGTGTGTGTGTGTGTGTGGGTGGAAAGTTTTCCTGCCCCAAAGGCGACTCTCCTTCCCTCAGCTTGAACCACCCGAACGTGGTGAAGGCCCAGGACCTGCCCGAAGACCTGGACTTCCTGGTGAACGACGTGCCCCTGCTGGCCATGGAGTATTGCTCCAGGGGGGACCTCCGGAAGGTAGGAGGGGCCGGGCCCTTGGGACCCTCGCCTGCCACTCCCGGGCTCCCTGGAGGAAGCCACAAAGTCTCCCCCTCTTTGTTGGCCCAGATCCGTTCTCCAGCACAGAGCTTGCTAGTAACTTGTGTTTTGTCCATTGAGACACACACACACACACACACACACACACACACTGGTTGTTAAATAGAAGAGTCTCGTTAATCTTCCTGTTATTGTGAACTGTTTTAGCTGCTGAACGCACCTGAGAATTGCTGCGGTCTTAAGGAAAGCCAGGTCCTTTCGGTGCTGAGTGACGTTGGTACGTCAGCTGTTCTTTGCCAGGATAAAGAGGTTGAAAAGTGCTTTGTTTCCAGCCTTCTCCTTGTGCCCCGAAGTCCATCCGAAAAGCCCTCCAGCCCTGGGGACCTATCAACAGCGGGTCTGCATTGACGGAGACCCCAGAAGGGCCTGGAGACAGAGGCCGGGGCATCTTCTGGATTTACTGCTGTTGTCGAAAGGAGGAAGGCCAAAGCAGAAAGAGGTTTTCTAAATGTGTGCCTTTCCCCCCCCCCCCCCCCGATTTCCATAGGGTCTGGCATCCAGTATTTACATGAAAACAGAATCATCCATAGAGACCTTAAACCAGAAAATATTGTCCTCCAGGATGAAGCCGGGAAGGTCAGTGAAACGCTCGGTGGCAACAATGATTTTCGAAGGCTGCGGTCGGTTTTTCCATCAACCCTTCCAAGAAATGGGCCCCAGAAGGGGGCTCCCTGCCCCCACCCCCCACCTGCCGGGCAGACCTTGCAAGGAGGAGGAGAGGGAGTTGTGCCATCATGACACTAGTCCTCTTGAGGAATCCCTCCCTCACCTTCCCCACCCGCCCTTTTGAAGCACAAGATGCCCTGGACTTTGGGCCAATCACCAGGAGGCCCTGGGTTCTAGTCCCGCCTCGGGCACAAAAGGGGGCTGGGGGACTTTGGGCAACCTCCGCTCCCTCTCTCAGCCCATCCCGCCTCGCAAGGGTGGTGTTGTGGGGGAAACGGGAACCTATGGATACCCCCAGGGGGTGGCTGGGAGAGCTGGTTCTGCAGCGTCGAAAGAGCCGTTTCAGCCGTCCTGCTCCTCTTCCCCCCCCCGTCAAAGCGGGGGCTCTCCCGGCCCCTCCCCCATTTCAGAGGCTCAGCTGGGGGGGAAATGGAGGAAACCCCCCCCTCAGTTCCAAAAAGAGTGAAACCGTGAAGAGGTTTAGGTGGAACCAGGACCTGCCATGTGATTTCCTGGCCAGGTCATCTACAAGATCATCGACCTGGGATACGCCAAGGACCTGGACCAAGGGAGCCTGTGCACGTCCTTCGTGGGGACCCTGCAGTACTTGGTGAGCCTTGGACCCCGGTGGCCGCCCATGGGGTTCTGTTCCTGGCTGCGGGGGGGGGACCCCGAAGGCCGACTTCCACCCCAACCTCTGCTGCTTCCTCCCAGGCCCCCGAACTCTTTGAGAACAGCCCCTACAGCAAGACGGTGGACTTCTGGAGCCTGGGGACAGTCGTCTTCGAGTGCATCACGGGGTTCAGGCCGTTCCTGCACAACCAGCAGCCCTTCGCCTGGTGGGTCTCCCTGCCTCCGGGGACGCTGGGGGCCTTTGGCTTTCGCCAAAGAGCCGCTTTGGCCTCCCTGCCTAGATGGGGGCCTCAGGGCGGCCCCCCCCCC